GGCCGTTATTACAGTTTGACGGAATGGTAATAAAGTGGAAAAAAAAAAAAAATTGTCTGGTTCACTTTTTCATGGAAGAGGTAGGTAAATGTAAAAGAAACGTAGACGTCAAAAGAACAAATTAAGAGATAATTAAAATTGATTTCGTAGGGTTTACATATAAAACCGAAAAAATGGATCAGAGAGATTGCAACAAAACAAAACAAATCTCCTCTCTATCTATCTTTTCCCCATTTCTCAAAACCCTAATTTCTCCATCTCTCATCTCTTTAACCTCTGTGTGTGTTTGTATCTCTCATCTCTGTTTGTTCCATGAACAGAGATCATAAGGTAACTTCAAAGCAGCCTCGTGAATTCATCTTGTAATTTCAGGTACTTCATTTGGAACTCTCTAGCTTGATTCTTATACTCTGAAATGTTGAGCAATTATCTTTGATCAAGAACCTTATAATTGACAAATTCTGCTTTTTGATGTGAATTTTTTTTCTGGATTTTTATCAGAATTTGTTTTGATCAAGTGTTGATGATTTGGTTAAGGATTAAATATTTTGATCTGTTAATTTTTTGAGGATTTGGTCATTGTTTTTGCGATTTGATTTAAGTATTGATTGTTACAGATTTTTATAATGTGAATTATACCAATTCGAATTGATTCATCATTACAAGATTTTGATCGAGCTGATAGTTTCATCAATGTTTTGAATTCTGATCTTGATTTAGGATTTTAATTAGAGATATTGTTCATCGATTTTGGGTTTTAGCTGATCGGAAGAGATTTGGCATCAAATGGCGACAAATGCGAGCGATGTGAATCAGCTTGAATCCGATTCGCTTCTACCTCCACGGAAGCGTTTACTCGCCGGATTCAAGAAACAGAACTCGAAAATCGGCAATGAATCGCCGAGCCCTCCTTTCGCTTCTTCTTCTTCTATTACAACTTCAAATGGTTCCTCTGCCTCAACAGATGTGCAGACTCATCTAGGCCATCTATTGACTTCTCAACTTAATGACCAGACTCGGTCTCCGGAAGAGCTAGCTCAGGCGTCAAAGGCAACCGCTGCTTTAGCGGTTAAGGTTGCAAAGGCGGCGAGAGCTACTGCTAATGAGAAGGCCATCATTGCTTCAAAAGCAGTGGCGGCAGCGAAAAGTGCGTTGGAATTGTTTGCTTCTTTTCCCGTTGAGGCGGTTGCTTGTAAAGAGAGGTCTCTAAGGAAGAACAAGCAGAAGAAACATGTCCCGGTTCAGCTTTTGTATTCGAAAGGAGGAGTTGCGGATGAGGATTTAGCGCGTAGGTTGAGTCGAGCTATAAACAATTCTCCTAGAGTCTTGACGGATTGTTCTGGTCACAGAAACAAGAAGCAAAAGACCGTAACCAGTACTATGTACGATGGGAATGATGTTGCTGGTGTTGTAGATTCAGACAGCTCGAATGACGAGGAAGTAGACAGAACCAGAGTAAACGGGAAGCTGCTCTTATGCGATAACGCACTGAAGGAGAAAACAGGGGAAGAAAGTAGCTCATTGGGGAAAAGAAGAGGAAGAGTGAAGTTAAAGAAGTTACCTTTGAGCATGTGTGCCTCTAAAGATCAAGAAAACGGTATCACATTAGCGGAAAACAATGTAAGCGTAAGTAAGCCGCTGGTTCAGCCGGAAGGTTCTAATGTTGGTGTGGGTCAGGTCATAGAAGGACCATCATGGAAGTGTCAGGACCTAAAGTCACCGGAATGTGTGAAGCAGAACAAAGTTGTACGTTCATAGTGTTGTTCTTATATCTTTACCTAAAAGAGGTAAGAAGGTGCAGAATCAACAGCATTGCCATTTTCAGTAGAATCTTAATGTTGTTTATTTTTATCTTGTTTTGCTTTTTTGGGTAATGTGTTTGAATTTATGTTACTTGTATATTTTGGGAATAATATCTAGATACATAGATTTTATATATATGTATGTTGGTTGTTGAATCATTGTAAGTGTTGTTGAACAAGGTCTAGTGTTATTGGGATTTGTTGATGAGAATCGAATTGTTAAAGTGATGACTGACATCAAGTGCTTTTTATACTTTTCATTTTCCAAATTTACTTGATTATATTTTATTTCATATACAAATGTCTTTTTATGTTCTTGACTCGTATCCGATTAAACCATAAAACGTAAGGAAACTCGAGTAACTGAAATCGAACTCTTGTAAGAAAGGTCGCATTAGTAAATAATTAACATTTAAATTTACAATTTTTTCTATAATACATTTTTATGATAATAATAATAATAATAATAATAATAATAATAATAATAATAATAATAATAATAATAATAATAATAATAATAATAATAATAATAATAATAATAATAATAATAATAATAATAATAATAATAATAATAATAATAATAATAATAATAATAATAATAATAATAATAATAATAATAATAATAATAATAATAATAATAATAATAATAATAATAATAATAATAATAATAATAATAATAATAATAATAATAATAATAATAGCAATCTAATAAATACCATTTGTACATCTGAACGGTTGTGTCTTTTTATCGCAACCTTTCGTTTAAATCGGTTATTTTTTTTACGGTTATTTTGGTTGCGTCTTTTTGTCGCAATTTTCGCTTTAATCGGTTATTTTTTTACGGTTATGTCGTTTCCAATAAATACCATTTGCACATCTGAACGGTTGTGTCTTTTTATTGCAACCTTTCGTTTAAATATATAATAGCAATCTCAATAAATACCTTTTGCAAATTTGAACGGTTGTATATTTTCGTCGCAACCTTTCGTTAAGTTTTTTATTTAAACTATAAAATATTATTGCTTTTTTAAAAATTTGAATCTGTTCAATTTTTAACTATAAAAAATCTGAACATATATGTCTTTTTGTCGCAATCTTTCGTTATTTTTTTTAAATAGATATAAAATATAATTTGTGGTTGTGAACTTGTGTTTTCTTAAAGTTGCATCTGTTTAGTTTTTAAATATAAAATATTTGAACTATTGTGTCTTATCGTCGCAACCTTTTCGTTAAGTTTTTTTTAATAATTATAAAATATAATTTATGGTTGTGTTTTCTTAAAGTTGCATCTATTTAATTTTTAACTATAAATTATAAATTTTATGGTTTTTTTATTTAGAAAGTTGCATTTGTTCCGTGGTTGAAACGGTTCGTCAAATAAACTTTTTCATTTTACAATTGTGAAAAGTTGCATCTGTTCAATTTTTAACTATAAATTATAAATTTTATAGTTTTGATTTGGGAAAAATGTCATTAAAATCCCCAACTTATTCAAAACGTTAATTTAAATCTTCAACTCACGACGAAACGAAATAAATATCAAACTTATGTTGACTTTCCAAATAAATATTAAACTTATGTTGACTTTCCAAATAAACACCAAACTTTCATTGACTTGGCCATATTAGACATGACGTTAAGTGGGTTAACAGACCATGTTAACAGAATTAATTATCTGTTAACAGGCCCACTAATTGAAAATGACAGTATTCCTTATAAACATAAACGACGTTGTTTTGTCGTAACTGCTCAATAAAATCATGAGTTTCAAATCATATGAAAATTTAGGGTTAGGAATTTTGCTCGATTTAGAGATCTAAGATTGACTTTACAGATCTAATTCAATCGTTACGACAAAACGACGTTGTTTTGTTTTGTTGTTATATGAAACGATGTCGTTATCAATTAACATGTATGTTAACAGAAAATTAACTCCGTTAACGAGATCTATTAACCCACTTGACGGCGTACCTAATATGGCCAAGTCAACGGATGTTTGATATTTATTTGGAAAATCAACATAAATTTGATATTTATTTGGAAAGTCAACATAAGTTTGATATTTATTTCGTTTCGTCATGAATTGAGGATTTAAATAAACGTTTTGAATAAATTGGGGATTTTAACGACATTTTTCTCGTTTTGATTTGTTCTAAAGTTACAACAGTTTATTTTTAATAACTATAAAATATAATTTATGGTTATGTTTTTTTTTTTAAGTTGCATCTGTTCAATTTTTAACTATATAATATAATTTATGGTTTGTGTTTAGAAAGTTGCATATGTTCAAAGATTGCAACGGTTAATCAAATAAACCTTTTCATTTTACGGTTGTTGGCATTTTTTCGCTATCTAGCATTCATATATATATATATATATATATATATATATATATACTTTGTTATCTATATTATTATTTAGTTTTTCCTAAATAACTATTATTTTGGTTATTAGTTATTTTTTTCCGAGGATTATCTCTCTTTTACAACACAATTTAAAGCATTGTGTATTTTTATCATAATGTTTTGTTGAATGTATTTATATAATTATGTTGAGAAGTGTTTAAAAACTTGAAAAAGTACGTCTACTCATTATAATGATTAATTAAACTTTTTGATTAATATATTTGTTTATGATCACATCTTTTCACCATAATATTTTTTAATAATAATATAAATCTAATAACAGTTTCTGAAGGTTACGTCTCTTTAATCTTTATTATAATTTTTCGCAAAATATATCTTGATTTATTATTAAAATGATTTTTTTTTTAAGTTATCTAAATACATTATAATTTTTTGTTTAATATTTTTTTATTTAAATATTTTTGAAATCATTTCCCCCGCGATATCGCGGGGGGTCTAAGTCCTAGTAATAATAATAATAATAATAATAATAATAATAATAATAATAAATCTAGTGATAAATTTATAGAACTATTTTACGGTATTTTGGTTTGTCTCCAAAATCCTGGTTTTGCAAATACTATAATAGGTAGAGTAAAATCTCTAATTTATCAAATGACTATATATACTTTGCGTTACACAATTTTCTTTTCAAAATTCTGTAAAATAAACACTACACTCAAATCTTTACAATGTAGCAGTGATAAGTGACGAAAATAAGGGGATTTTATTTTCTTTATGGACGATGGAAATAAAAATACAAAATACAAACGCATGCAACAACAACTAAACGAAAAAAAAAAAGAGAACAAGACATCGGTTACTTTTTATACCCCTTTTTAATTATATTTGTTTTGATTATTGATTCAATTTGAGAGACTATTCCCGGACTTTAAGTTTTTGACCTTCTATTTTGGATATATGAATATCTTCTTCACCATGCTGCAAAATTCACTACATGCACACAACATCCAAAATGAAATATAATCTCTCAAGATTTTAACTAATCTTCGATGAATAGAAAGAGAAAGGAAACTTACGGCCATGGATTGTCTCCAACAAGCTTCTCATTTCCTTCATTGTCTTTGAAAGCTATTTTCCATTGGTTGCGGGTTTGCAACTGGCCGTTGAGATCAAAGAGTTTCTCCAATTCTATTATTAGGTGATCATATCCATTAAGAACATTTAAATCGAGAGCTCTTCCTACTGGTACACCTTGCATTTGAACCTGTTTCATATCAAGATTACGTGAGTTGGGTACAATGAGAAAAAGATCCATATCTAAAGAGTAAGAATATATTGATCTTATACTTACTTTGGTACAACTCCTAGTAGAACTGAACTGCTTGCTTTGGATCTCTCTTGGAGATGTTATAGTTTGGCCTAGACCAAGCTTTTTCTCTTGACAGAGTTTAGAAATCTCAGATTTTGGATATGATTCCATCGGTTCAATGGGATCTTTAATCACTGAAGAAGTGGCAAGAGAGACTCCAAACAGTCTAAAACTAGCGTTTGCATTGGTTGTTATATTTTCTTCTATTGGTGTAACCATTTGATCGTTATTGTAATTTAGCTTGGGCATTGTTGGGACATGATAGCTCATTAGCATCCTAGAAGGAGTCTCATCATCTTCAATTTCATCGCAATAACTAAGAAAAACATTCATCGGGGAGGTCATGCTTGGTTCTCCAATTTCTTGACCTTGTGTCAATATAGGATGCAAGAGATGTGATGATGTTGAACCTATAATATGTATAATGAAGAGGTAATCGCAGGAATCTTTAGTTCATTTAATTGAAGATTAATTCCTTAAATATAATATTATAAGAGTCTCTTTTTTATACCGATTTCATTAACTTCTCGGGAACGCTTGTTTTTGAGCAAAGATGGCCGGAGAACATTTAACGAAGGCGTTAAATGTTCGATATCCCATGGTGAAACTTTATCAGGTCTTGGAAATGATGCAAATTCATCCCACTTCACCTGCAAAATTAGAGTTAATTAATGATATGTTATTTATTGCACTTAAAAATGTACCCTTAAAATAATGTTATAAAGTGTGAAGAGAAATTTTACTTCTAAGCTTCGCCATTCTGATTCCATCCAATGAGAGGAGAAATTATTAACTCCAATAATTGTCCCAGAATATCTTAATTAATAAAACAAAATGTGTTATAATAGATAACATTAGACATTAGAGATATATTTAAAAAGAAAAAAATGTTGATATAATGTTACCTTCTTTCAGAGAAATCTTCACCCTCAAACCGCATTGTAAATCTTGAACCGACATTGAACTTATTGTTCACAGCGTCTACGAATTTGTTGTAACTGACAATAAATTGACTTGACCTGATACATATCAATACACAAAATATAAACCTACATGTTGATGAAACTAATCTTTTGATAATTCAATAGCATCATAAATGTGAGTTCATGGTTCTTTGAATTACCTTGGCTTGTAAACCACAATGAACATACATTGGTTATTAAAAGCATGCACTGCGGAAGCAATTACTCCATGTCTCATACTATCTATTGATATTAGTGATGAATGTATGTTCTTTTGTTGATGTCCCGCTCGTCTGATACCAACTCGTAACTCTCCAGTCTCTCCCCTGGAACCACAAGTAAATAGTTTAAAGTCCAAAACACAAGAACCAAAAGATATGTAAAAATAAACAATATTATACCTAAGGAATACAATAACATCTCCTGCAACCAATTTTTTTGATGTTGTGAATGCATTCCAACCTGATGTTAACAAATGTCTTCGCGGTGTACCTGCATGGAAGAAGAATATTAGTTACTTATCATAATATTCATATGTTTATAAGAATAAAGGGATTTATTACCTCTGTAGCTGTGTTTGAATCTCCATTGATTCCCATGGAGATCTATAGTAAGAAGTTCTTGTGCCGGTAGAGGCTGAGACATATCCTAAAGCAAAATTTGATATGTAAATGTCTAATAACAGGTTAAAATTCGAATTCATTGAATAATAATAAAAAATACTAAACATAAATACCAGCGGAGGGAGACATTCAATGGCAAGTTTTCTGGGAACAGAGAATCCACCATGGACGCTTGTATCTGAGGCCGTTAAAACCTTTGTAAAGGAATTAACCAATGGCCTATAATGATTATCATTCTGAGTAGGGATTACAACTTGCTAAACATTAAAAACATTTCAGAAAATCAATGAGATATAATTGAAGAAAAATTACAATTCATTGGAAAAAAAAAAAAAAAAAAATTCTTAATTTTTCCACGCACCGTATCTGGCATCAAAGTAATTTCAGCATAAGTCTCATCACTATTTTTTTCCACCTAAAATCAAACATCAAACAATTAACTAATTAGTTCTTTTTATAATAGATTCATATATACAAAATAAGATAATGTATTTCATATGTATTCCCTAAAACATCATAGGGATATACCTTAAGCTGAATAGCAATAACACGACATTGAAGCTTAGAAGGAAGATCAAAAATTGGTTGTATTTTATTCAACTCTTCTCTTGTATATGCCTCAATCTGAAAAAGCCATCAAAATATTTTATAAATGAAAGAAAAAAACAAAACATAGGAGAGAGAGAGAGAGAGAGAGAGAGAGAGAGAGAGAGAGAGAGAGAGAGAAGAGAGAGAGAGAGAAGAGAGAGAGAAGAGAGAGAGAACTCACAAGCTCTATGTGGCCTTGAGGAAAGTAATAAACTTTTTCTCCAATTTTTGGAATATCACACAAAGGTCCAGCACACAATTTCCATAACTGCTCGTACATATATCTCTTGGATACATCAATTGCTGAAAAAAAACCAAAACATTATAAGCAAAAAAAGTTTCAATAAATATAAAAAAAGTCAAAATTTCTTACTTATACCTGATAATTCAGGTTGTGCATTTACAACGTTACCACTTTCCATCAGCTCTTATCCAAAGATTGGTATACCATATATGTTATCTCAACAGTTATAAGACCACTTTCTCCTTTTCCTCAACTTCTCTTGCGACCATGAGAACGCAGAATAGCACATTTATAGGCAAAACATATCAAAATACATTAAAATATTTCCTTAGATAATTTGAATACTAATTTTAATAAGGTTACCAAAATTTAATAAAGTCAATATAGTGAAATGTCATTAATATTTTGACTATATATAAAGAACTAAATATCTTATATGTTCATTTGATTAAGTTACCAAAATCAACATATGCATTATTTATATATAAGTTAAACAATATGAAAAAAATTTAATACTTACAAACAAAACATTTTTTTAATAATTTGTTTACAGATAGCCATATAAATTTTAAATATGAGTTCTTGCTTGATTCTGATTGCATATATAGGAATTCTCTAGCGTCGTGATCAGACCTTTCATATAGGCTCTATGGTACATCTCATTTTAGTTTTTTCTTTTTCCCTTTCCTTTAAGTTTTCTCATATATTGTCGCTCTTTGGAGAAATCTTCAAGACCATGCTCCCCTTTTCATTTGACTATGATGTGAATTTGCATGTATCCCATGACATCCCATGGCTAATGGAAATATCTTTGAAATCACGGGTGGATTATTTGGCCTTACAAGGGGAATATGACGTATAGTATGATGAGTTCCATCAAGAGTGTAGAAGAGCTTCTCGCTGCCTCTCAACCCGAACGTCATCAAAACATTTTGCTCTATGTTTTATATTGATGGCTTTTATTTTATCCTTAAATAAAAAGATGAGAACTCTTCAGATTTCCTTCATCTTGCTCTTCATTTCATGATTTTACTCTTTGTATGCTATGTTAGGCAAAACAACATAGAATGAATCTTCCGTGTGGAACTCCTGCAATTGAGGTGAGAGACAATTTTGGAACATATAACACATATTTTATTAAAAATATTTATTGGTAGATTCAGTTGGCGGACCCATAAATTATTTTTAGGGGGTCATATTTTTTTTTTAATTGCTTTATATAATTTCTTATATTATAATATTACGCAAACATTAGAAAAATAAAACAACCATTTGTATTGGTTTATGTTCTTAAGAATAGACAAATTATCAAGAGTTTGATATTATTATTTTCCTAGGGAGGCTGGTGTTGTTGAAAGACAGATTTGGCTTCGACCACATTTAGGAACTCCCATTCTGTGTTCTTGATTTGGTAATGAACTCCCATTCTGTGTTCTTGATTTGGTAATACTTCCATCTCTCTCGCTTAACCATATGAAGAGTAACGATCACAACTGAGTAATCAAGCCTTGGCCTCAACTTCTTATTCATCTCTACTGAAATTTAATGTTTTTGATGTGTCATTTTTCCATTTTACATGTATGTATTCTTACACTATAAATGGGGAAACTTCTTGTAATTTATTGTAAGAAAAAAAAAAAGACAAAGTAATAAGAATTATCGGAATTAAAACTTAGTTTGATATCACTCTCTTCCACTAGACTGCACATTATATATAGAGACAACCGGATTGCGGAATCAGAAGAGAACACTGAACTCAAATCATACATTCGCAATGTGCTATATTATATGTTTATATGAAAATGATTGTTAGTCATTGATCATATCTCCAAAGACCAAAAAAAAAAAGAACAAACAAATTTTCTTTCAAAAAATATTCAAATTGGAACGAACCAAAGAATGAACCCAAAAAAGAGAGAGAGAGCAGTTCTATATCATTTGTAAGCAAAAAAATCAAGAACATGAACCTTTGATCTGCATGTTACTCATCTGACCTTCTATTTGATCTTCATTGTTCTGTGTCCTGAGATTCAACCATGGATGTTGCAGACATTGTTGAGCAGTTGGTCGTTTCTCAGGTGCAAAATCCATAATCGGGCAGAGAAATTCCGCAAATTCCCGTGATTCTGCTTCTGGAAGCTTGTATTTATCAATCAGTAAACGGTCGAGTGGCCAGTATTTTAATCTCCGGATCCTCTTCAAGTCGCCGTGTCTGTCAAAGTAATCCTTTGATCTCGCACCTCCAATGGCAATCTAATTAAATCAGAAGTATCAAAGATAGTATAACCAAGCAATAGAGAGACATATACCAAGTGTTTCTGGGTACCTTTCGAGGCATTTTTCCTAAGAGTTCCATCATAAGAGCAAGGTGGTCCTGAAGCCAAACCAGAGAAGAAGAATGTGTCAAACAGCTAATAAAGAAAAAAGAACTCTTTCGTTAAAATTGATTTGGGATTTCTGAAAAACCATCTTTACCTCGTCTTCTCCGTAACCATTACCCTCTTTTGGAGCGAAAAGCATATCACCTGTAGCAAGCTCGAAAGCAGTACACGCGAAAGACCACATATCAACAGAGTAAGAGTAACCTGACTGAAGTATTACTTCAGGAGCTCTGTACTGTCTTGTTTGTATTTCTTCTGCAAATTTCTTATCAGCCCAACACCCGTTCCCAAAGTCGACAACTTTGCATCTCATATCAATCCCATCCAAATTTCTCTTGTTCTTTGTCGGTGTTTCACTTAAACCTACTATCGAAACTCTTCTTCCTGATATTTTAGCAGCCGCCTTTTTCGCTCTCCTCTTCAACTTCTTCTCAATCAGATTCATTGTTGATGTACCGTTTTGGTTACCCTCAGGCTTTTCTAGTATTGGTGTTAGTCCGGATCTGATGGGATCCTTGGCAGGGTCAATGGTGGAACAAAGAAGAATGTTTTCGGGTTTTAAGTCGGAGTGAATCATACCAAGTTCACGGTGCAAATAATCTAGACCAGTCAGTATACATTTGCATATCTCCCGCACTTTACTCAACTCCATCCCTTTATAACGGTTGTATTTGATCAAACGCAGCAAGCTATCGCCAAGAAACTCAAGCACCATGCATAAATGCTGCCCATTGGGACCTGCGTGCTTGAAGTCATCAATAAGACGAACAACACATTTGGTATTTCCAGGATCCCCATCAGCAGCAGCTTGAAGAAGTTCGATTTCGTGAAGTGCAGCTTGAGCAAATTGTAAAGCGCTCTTCTGAATCTTCAAAGCAACATAATTCTACAACATAAACACATAGTTTATCATAACTAATGGGAATAAAGCCAAAAAGGAGGATACATGTGAATTTAATTTCAATTCAAACTTCGAAATACTTCAGAGGAATTCCTAAATCTAAAGTCATGGACTTCTTACATTCTAAGAGCAAAACATCAGAATTACTTTTCTCACAATGAAAGAATCTAAGAGCGTAGAAGTGTTTCCCTGCTTCAGACAAGGTAAAAGGACTCCAAAGATAGAGCTCAAAAGAGAAGAAAACATTAAATTAAGCCTATAGTTAATGAGACACCCAGACGGCATTTAAGGAACAGCACCATTTAATAGACATTCATTTCCCTTACTCAGCTCTTTAAACAAACAGCAATGGTTGGTCAACTACAGAGTGCAGTGCCAAATCAGAACCACAAAATTCAGAACTTTGCCAATCTAAAAGATTAATTCACAAGAAGCCAAGATCTTGTACCAAAACAGATCAGAGCCGGAATAAAAGAGACTAATGGGTACATGCTTTGAACAAATATACCAAATTAAATTCTGCATTTAAGAGCTTGTAAAGCAAGAGCAACACGAGATATAAGGAGAGAGATGTGTACAGAGGTGCGAGTATCATAGGCAAGCCAAACGGTGGAGAATTGGCCCCAACCAAGCTTTCTCTGAGCAATGTAACGGCCACCGGCAAACTGGTCTCCGATTCTAACGGCGTGATATCCACCTTTACGGTAAGCATCGAAACCCTCATCGTCTTCATCTGATCCAGATGAGGATGAACACGACATATCTCTGTCTGAATTTCAAAGCTTGATCCGTGTTCTGTGTGGATTTTGAATTGTCAAAGTTTGGATCTTTGAATGAAAGAGCTCCCTTTTCTTTAATTTTCTCGAACAATGAGAGAGAAAAGAGAGAGGAATAGCACGAAACGTAAGACTCTCTCCACTTTTTGCTCCTCTTGTCCTTTTTTTATTGATGGGTGCTTCAAACATTTTCCCATTTTGACGTTGTCCAATTCTCCATTTTGCCCCTTCTCTCATGGTCTTGTTTAAAATCTGCCTCCTTTTCTCCCGAAGCTCCTTGCTTTTAACAGACTTTCAAAAGATCCATCTTGATCTCTCTGAAATTGGAGCCATATTTGTATTTGTTGCAGATGCATTATCAAGGCCTCAAGTTCGAGCTCAACAATCATATAAAAGTTGTTACTGCCTCTGGCTTTAACTTTCGATTATGTCCTGCAATGAGGTGTTCAAGTGGATTGCGGTTTTCTGGCTGAGACAAAACATCAGTGAACTCCACATAGAAGAATCAGGGACAATACTCTTCTCCACCATTAGTGACAAAAGCAACCAAGCCTTCTGAATATCACCCTTCACGCACAACTCTTCGAGCAACGGATTGTAGCTCTCTCTATCAGGAACGCAACCTCTCTCAGCCATGTCTTCCACAAACTTGATACCATTCATGACTTTATCTTCCTTACAGAACCCGATAATCACAGCATTGAATGTTGATGATCGAGGCAAATAGCCTCTGGTGACCATGTCGTTAATAAGCTCAAGTGTTTCTTCCATGTATCCTTCTTGGCTGTATCTATGAATCAAGCAATGGGAAACTATAACACTAGGAACTCCTCCTTCTCCAGTCATCTGATCATAGGCCGTCTTTACATCATCCATACCGCCTTTCTCGCATAAACTAATCAACTTGAAGCTCCTGTCAACTGCCCTTGGAAAAAGTTTCTCCATCTTTAACAGGAACTCCAGAGCGTCCTCCCACCGGTTTTCCTTATAAAAGCCATAAATAACACTGTTGTACGGATCGATTCTGGCCCCATGAACGGTTTCGCTGTCCTGCATCAGTTCTAATATCTTTATACCATCGTCTGTCCTCCCTCTTACTGAAAGCCCTCTGATCAACGTGTTAAATGTAGCAAAGTTCCATCTAATCGCATCTGTTTTCATATCATTGAAAGTGTCCAGAGCTGAATCCAACATTCCAACATCGCAAAATCCAGCAATCAACAAATTATATGTTTCCACATTGGGCAAGTAACCTTTTCTCTCCATCTCTTGGAAGAACCGTTGAGCAACTCTCATTTTCCCTACCGCACAATACCCTTTAACCAAGGTGTTACAAGCTACAACATCGACTTTACCTCCTTTGCTTTCCACTCTCTCTAAAACCTCGAGTGCCTCCGACACACGGCCTTCATTGCAGAGCACTTCCATCACCTTAGTTACCGTCACAACATCCGGAACAAGACCCAAACTAAAACATTTCTCCAGCAACACCATCGACTGAATCAACTTCTGCTCGTTGCAGTAAGCAGATATCAAGATGTTGAAAGTTACATCATTTGGTTCCTTCATTTCACTCATTAAACTCCTAGCTCTCCCAACTTTCCCATTCTTACAAAGAGCATGAAGCAAGGTGTTATAAACCACAGTGTTTGGAGCCACACCGCATGTCTTCATGATCTGAAGGAGCTTAAACCCATCACCAATCCTATTCGTTAAACAAAGCCCTTTCATCAAAATCCCATATGTGTACTCATCACCCTGAATCCCACTAGCCATCATCTTCCTTCTGAAAAACTCTCTAGCTATGTCAATGTCTTCCTTAACCAAAACATCCAAGATCGAATTGAAAACTTTCAAAGATGGTTTGATCCCAAATTTCGAAACCAGATCAACAACACTAATCACACGTTTGGTCAATCGAGCACGCCCAAACCCTCTAATGATAGTTACAAAGATAGCATCATCCGGAGGCAAACCGGTTGACTCAGGCATTTCGTCGAGCAGTTGGTAGACAGTATCAAAACGACGGAAAACACAAAGTTTATAAAACAGAGCACGGTAAGTGGAACGAGAATGGATAAACCCAGGAAAAGTTGAAGCCCATCGAAAAGTTTCCAAAGCTCCAGAAGCTGATTTCTGGTCTAGAATGAGACGGACGATATGATCATCGCTGGGTACAGAAAGCAAAGAAGAGGAACGTAGTTGAGGAAGCCATAATCTTCTTGTCAATGGCACATATCGAGAAGATGCCAAAAGCATGGAGATTTTCAGCATCAGATACACAAAAATTGTCACAACTTGAAACAATTCAGTATCAACTAACAACAAGTAAGCAAAAAGAAGTTGAAACAACCATTTGCGTTTCCATATCGTAATATTCTATGCAAACGCAAACAAACAATTGGAGCTTAACTCTCTAATTAGATTACAAAACTTGGACTTTGGGACTTAATTAACATAAAGAAAATGTAGAACACATATATAACATGAGGAAAACAACTTAACATTTCAACTAGATTTTAACCCGCGGTATACGACTCGACGATTTGTTCTTAAAATTAATATTTTTTTAAATTTAATAGTTATATATTATATATTAAATTTTGCAATTTGTATCATTTTATAAGACATTTATATTTTATAACTTACAATTGTTATTAAGTAATGGTATACTACAGAATAATTTTTGTTTTATTCAATTTTATTTTAACCAGAATCATTCGATATGTCTAATCTATATATAATAGCAATCTAATAAATACCATTTGCACATCTGAACGGTTGCGTCTTTCTATCGCAACCTTTCATTTAAATCGGTTATTTTTTTACGGTTATTTTGGTTGCGTCTTTTTATCGCAATTTTCGGTTTAATCGGTTATTTTTTACGGTTATGTCGTTTCCAATAAATACCATTTGCACATCTGAACGGTTGCGTCTTTTTATTGCAACATTTCGTTTAAATATTTATGGTTTTTTTTTTTACAGTTATTTTTGTACGGTCATGTTGTTTAGTTGAATTTCTTCTTACGTAAACCAATAAACTACATATAAAATTGGCTTTATTTCATAGTTTACATATGGATATATTTAGTAGTATAACCTCCTTAATTATATCATTCATTTAACATTTACGTGATATCATTGGAAACCAAATATAATAGCAATCTCAATAAATGTCATTTGCACATTTCAACAGTTGCGTATTTTTATCATAACTTTTCTTTAAAATATTAGCGGTTATTTTTTCGGTTGTGTTTTTTATCGCAACTCTTCGTTAAAAAGATTGACAGTTACTTTTTTTGTTAACGGTTATTTTTCAGTTATATCCTTTTTATCGCAACTTTCCGATAATTATTGGCGGTTACTTTTTTCGTTTCTGTCTTTTATCGCAATTTTCCGTTAAAATATTGATGGTTATTTTTTCTCAGTTGTGTCTTTTTATCGTAACTTTCCGTTAAAATATTAACGGTTATTTTTTCTCAGTTGTGTTTTTTTATTGCAACTCTTCGCTAAAATATTGACGGTTGTTTTTTTCGTTGACGGACATTTTTTAGGTTGTGTCTTTTTATCGTAACTTTCCGTTAAAATATTGATGGTTACTTTTTTTGTTTGTGTATTTTATCGCAACTTTCGGTAAAAATATCCACGGTTATTTTTTTCTCGGCCATGTCTTTTTATCGCAACATTCTGTTAAAATATTGACAACTATTTTTTCTCGGTTGTATCTTTTATCGCAACTCTTCGTTAAAATATTAACGTTTATTTTTTCTCGGTTGTGTCTTTTTATTGCAACCCTTTGTTAAAATATTGACGATTATTTTTTCTTAGTTGTATCTTTTTATCGAAACTCTTTGTTAAAATATTGACGGTTACTTTTTTCGTTGACGAATACTTTCGGTTGTGTCTTTTTATCTTCACTTTCCGTTAAAATATTGACCGTATTTTTGCGGTTGTGTTTTTTATCGCAACACTTCGTTAAAATATTGATGGTTATTTTTTTTTGTTGATGGTTATTTTTTGGTGGTGTTTTTTTTTATCGCAACTTTTCGATAAAATATTGGCGGTTATTTTTTCTCGATTGTGTCTTTATATCGCAACTCTTCGTGAAAATATTGAAGGTTACTTTTTTCGTTGACGGTTATTTTTCCGGTTATGTCTTTTTATCGCAACTTTCCGTTAAAAAATTAATGGTTACCTTTTATGTTTTGGTCTTTTATCGCAATTTTTCGTTAAAATATTGATAGTTACTTTTTTCGTTGACGGTTATTTTTTCGGTTGTATCTTTTTTATCCCAACTTTCCGTTAAAATATTGACGGTTATTTTTCTCGGCTGTGTCTTTTTATCGCAATTATTTGTTAAAATATTGACGGTTATATTTTTTATTGACGGTTATTTTTTTTTGTGCCTTTTTATCGCAATTATCGCAACTGTTAATTTTTTCGTCTGTGTTTTTTTATCACAAATTTCTGTTAAAATATTTATAGTTATTTTTTGGGATAGTTCTATTTGTTTAATTATAGTCGTATTTTTTTAGTTTACGGTTGTGTCTTTATAGTTGCATATATTCATTTAAATACGTCTCTTCACTATATTTCATTGTATTTTTTCATCAGAACTTTTTGTATGAATAGTTGTCTATTTAAATTTTCATTACTTTTGAACTCTATATATTTTTCCTTCTTCCTAAGTAGTTCCCAAATTTTTTTATCTTTAACATAGATTATTTATTTTATGATGAATCTAAAAAAAATAATCTGTAAAATGGCTCCAAATTCTTTATTCTCTAAACTATTTCTAAACATACATCATTTTAATATTAAAGAAATTCTTCACATTCTTGATCTAACTTAAGTTTTTTCGGAATGATTATAAAAATGGAGAAGTTTTAATCAACTTTACATATAACATTCTAATGAAGTACCAACAATTGGACGGATTATATAGTGAATTTTTTTCTATTTTAAGGATATATATGGGTTATAATTTTTTTCTATTTTTTCTATTTTTTTCTAACAATGATGTTTTCTATTTTAAGGCAATATATATGAGTTATATACAAAGAAATATTGATGTTGCGTTAACACTATTACAAAGTCCGAATATGAGAAGGCATGCTCATATGAAGCTTGTGATTGGGTGTTTTAAATTTGGTAAGCGTCAAATGAACTGTTTCAAATGGTTTGGTAATCCATAAATCTTTTACATTATTAGAAAAAAAAACAATGCTTCCAATTCGTCAAATGTTATTCAAGAAGTTTTTTAGTCAGTTAATTTATCAATATAAATACAAATTTATGAGATCTTGTAAGTATTTATTTTTTTGTTATAGATGTAATTTACGTCATCAAATTTTATATTTTCTCTAATATATATAATAGAATAAATATTAACTTTATATTTAAAGAACAGTGGGCAATAAAGAAACACCAATTCTCTGGCGAAGTTCTTAGTCATCTACAAGTCATTCTGAGTACTGACTCCATCCGAATTTTTGAGTTTTGACATGCTAGAATTTTTCATCTCTATATTATAGCTCTTCGTTATGTATTTTGTCACTTATAAATAATTTACATTCATAAAAAATATAAATATTTCAAATGTGTTTTTAATCATAATTCTTTTTTATATATTTTTATTCATAAATTGTTTTAACATCTTTGGAAAATATTTATGATATAACTTTAAAACATAATTAATTTTATATAATAATTCATATATTTGAATATATTATCATAATAATTTAATACATAAACACAATCAAACATATTTGTTGAAAATGAGTCCCCCCGCGACACCGCGGGGGTTCATAACCTAGTATTAGTAGTACTAAAAAATAATAAAATATAGATTTAACCCGTATTAAAGCAGCAAGTTCATGATGTTTTCAATTTTTTGATTCAACCCGTATTGAAGCAGCAGGTCTTGCAATATAACCGTCATGTGTTATTTTGAATTCATTTTGATCTTATTTATAATAAGATTGTGAGTCATTGCTAAATATTTTAACCAATACGGGACGTTGAATACACACCTTTTTCATAATATATATCCGTTTAAAAAATTTTGAATCACAATATATGTAGAAAAAATAATAGAATTTTTTTTTTAACTTTATGTATTATATGATGATTCAAAATAGTTAAAATGAAGTTCAAACAACGATGATAGGATAATCGTAATTTTAAATCTTAACCAAATTTTCTAAATATCTATATCTTTAAATATGGAATATCCGGTTCATAATTTCAGATATGTTTTGACCCGATCCAAAGAAAAATATAGAATATCTGGTGTAAGATTTTAAAGTAAATTTTGTATCGGGTCGGGTACCAAAATCTCGGATTAACTTTTAGCCCACCCGATACAAAATGTACTTCAAAAATACTACAATATAGATAACAAAGTATATCCCAAAAACCAAAAGATGCAAAAAAGACCAAAACACAAAACATTTTGTTTTTTTAGAAGAGCAGATTCAAGCCCATATTAGTTGTGAATAAATTGTCTGGCTTAAAAATCTCTAGTTCCTCTCTCAGACGGTCAAAGTTAAAATATTTATTCATGTTTTGCTTTTATTTTATTTTGCTGGTTTAGAGCATCTCCAATGCCCATATTTATCTTTTACTCTATTTTAAAGAAGATTTTGCCTCAATGTATGCCTCTAAAATAGAGTTTACTCTAAAATAGAGGAGAGAAACAATGTACACCTCTATATAGAGTAATCCAATGTCTCTTTCCTCTATTTTAGAAATAACTCTATTTTAGAGGCATACATTGAGACAAAATTTCCTCTAAAATAAAAGAAAATATAAATGTGGGGATTGGAGATGGTCTTAGTCTTAGGGTTTTGCATCGTACGTGAAGATGCCAGAAGCCAAAATTGAAGAGACAGTAGTTTGTGAAGATAGGATTAGTGAGTTGCCGGAAGATTTGCTCGTAGTGATATTGACTATTGTCCCGACAAAAGACACAATGGCCACCATGTTTTTGTCGAAACGATGGCTCTCTATTTGGACGATGGTACGTACACGAACCTTGGCGTCTAAGGAGTCTCAACACATTCGTAGAGGATCCATGGATCATGAAATTTCTAATTCCAGCATCACTTGCTCATAGCTCTCTTACTTAGATGTATCAACTATTGAAATCAATCAAAAGGAACAACCTTTAAATTAGAACATGTAATTACGTCCAAACCAGCTTAGAAGTATCACGAAAACACAAAAGTACCTGAATTTATATCTTCATGAATAACTTGACGAATGCTAGAACACTTCTCCATGACTCTCTTTGCAAGCGTCCAGTTACCGAAGAAACCCGCACATTAAGTGTTCGAGCAATTGCCGCATAAAGCGTTTCCTTTGCGCCTAATGATACCCGCCATGGCAAAGACTCGAAATCAATCCACAAGTAGAACCATCTTTGCAGAGAGCAGAGTCGCCACTTTTTAGGGTTCAAATTCAATTGCAAAGTCAAGTCCAAAGACCAGAGTTCACTCCAGGTAAGGTTTAGGTGTCAATCCCGGTTTTTGGTTTTCAGTATCTCTAAAGCGAAATTTTATATTTCGATCAAAGTTTAACAAGCATTAACGATCCCAATTCACTGGTTTAGATGATCTTATTCTTTGTGAGTTTAAGAAACAAAACAGTAATAAATCGTGTTTATCATAAATAGTTTGTGTATATGTCACATAAGTTGGGTGTAGCTCTAATATCCCAACATCCTTGTACTAAATAGAAAGAAATCATATAGAATTGAGAATTACGCTTCCTCCTCGTCAAAGTAAAAGAGAAATCAAACTCTTCCTTGAAACTGCTTGTCACACTGCTCGTCCAAATCCTCGAAATTCTGAACATTTTTAAACGTGTTTCTAAGTTGCCAATATTGAGCAGCTTCTCTCTGAATGTCCCTAGCCTCGTTCGCTGCTTTTCTTTCGACCTTCTTTTCCACCCATGCAGCTTTACAGCGGTCAATCTTATTCTTCATCAAATCCCTGTTATATGCGAGTTGTTGTTCTGTCAGAACAAGGATGGGTTCCTCTGCTCTTCTGCTTTCCTCAGCATGTTTCTCTTCTGCAGCCCTTTCCTCTTCCTCAACATGTTTCTCTTCTGCAACCCTTTTCTCTTTCTCAGCACGTTTCTCTTCTGCAGCCATTTTTGCTTCCGCAGTTCTTTTTGTTTCTCAAGTTATTTTTGAGTTTTCCCTTGAAGCCTCTAAAATAAGAGGCCATGATTCATATATAATTGTAGCAATCTCAATGCAGACATAATTGTTGTAGTCAACTTTGGCTTCTTTGTAATTTGAGGAATACAATTGTTGATATGTTGTTGGCGTATATGTACATAAATTTCACAAGGTTAATCTTCTATCAGGTAAAATAAATTTCTTAATCTCTTTCTTTATAGGAGTTTATTATTAACAATTGGCTTTGAAATCTTCCATTGTTCAACTTTTGTTACATGTATTAGGAATCTCAAAATTCTTTTGGAGCTAAGGTACCATTCTATGTCCATTTTTTTCTCTCTTACGAACATTATATGTTCTTGTACCAACTATTGAATAAATCATATTAGCGGTAATAATCACATCAACGGAAAATTCTAATGTTATTTTGGTTGAATTGCATGTGATGTTATAATTTGATATGATTTGTAGTAAAAATTATGTTGTATAAACTGCATATTGAGTTATATTTACAACAACGATTATTTTTTGGAAGAATACCGTGAATACGAGTTCATGTCCACTCGATCCTCACTTTAGAAGAAATTCTAAACTTCTTACATTTACTATTATTACTCTCCCTAATAAACACTAAACGATATTGTACAAATCTCAATACAGACATAATTTCCGCGATCAACTTTGGCATCGTTGTAATTTGAGGAACATAAATGCTGAGATGTTGTTTGCCTATGTGTACATAAATTTCACAAGGCTAATCATCTATCAGGTCAAAAAAATTCTATATTTCTTTCTTTGTAGCAGTGTATTAATATCCATTGGCTTTGAAGTGAGTTTCTTCTAATCTTCTTCAAGTGTTCAACTTCTGTTACATGTATTAGGAATCTCAAAATTCTTTTGGAGCTAAGGTACCATTCGATATCCAGTTTTTGTTCACTTACGAACATTATATTTTCTTGTACCAACTATTGAATAAATCATATTAGTGTAAATAAACACATCAACAAATTTTTTTTTATGTTATTAAGGTTGAATTGCATTCGATGTTATAATTTGATGTGATTTTTAGTAAAAATTATGTGGTATAAACTGCAGATTGATGTAGTAAATTAGTTGTAGAAATATGAGTTATCATAACTCTTGTGCTTAAAAAATTGCAGTATATATTAATTAAACTAATTATGTTAATATCAACAATAATATTTATTAAATTAAATAATAAATTAAAAAACTAACTTAAACATAGTTAATGTTACAAAAATATTTTTGTAACATAGAATTTTAATGATATGTTTATGAATAAAATTAATAACAACAATTTTTCTCTCATATTCAAATAAAGTTAAGACATTTTTCTAATCAAAAACTAATTTTTGTTTTTTTAAAGAAAATCGTAACTCAACTTACTTATAATAAAAAAACAAGTAATATAATTCAAAAACATATTTAGCTAAAAATAAAAGGCTTTATCTTATTTGAATAAGTTAATCTACCAACTCTACAAAATATGAAACACAATTCCATATGATATCACCACTCTATTTTTGACTTAGTCGATGTTAGTTTACTTTGGTTAATCGTTTGGTTCCCATAATGACGCCGCTATAAGGGGGTCATTATTATAGAGGCGTCATGGTTTTGTCAAATACGATATCCACCATGCCCTCTCAGTTACTTGGTTTTAAGTTTTTAACGTTGGTCAATGGTCAGTCGATTACTCGATTAATAATCCAATTTAGACAATTTTTATAGTTACAAATTATAGAGGTCGGAAAAGACATTTTGAAAATTGTAGAGATCAAAAAAGGTTATTTTCCCATTTCCTTTTCTACTACTTTGTTCAAGTTTTCGGGGCGAAAATGCAAAATTCCAGATAGTGTTGGGGTCTCAATTTCAAAGAATACATCTTGAAATAGACGACAAGGAGCTTGTGGATCTTGTCCTAGCTCATCCATTTGAAAATTCCATGAAATAATTTCAATTTGTCCCCTTGGTTTTCAAAATTGATCTGAATAACCCTCTATTGATGACTTGAAAACCCTCTATATAAAAAATTGTTTCAATTCAGATTCTCTTTGAGCTCATTTATTTTTAAAGCGCAGCCGCTAGAGTTCCCTTTCCTGTGAGTCAAAAAGAGTAGGTTACATTTAACAAGTACAGAATGAAATTAAAAATATTTACAATTTGGTCCACTGGTTTTGATATTGATCTGAATGCCCCTCCTTCGATGTTTTGGGTTGTTTCAGTTCAGGTTCTTAATGCTATGAATGGTTCGTGTCGTTTGACTCAGAAACTAAGCCATGAGATAGGTAAAATAGCCTAGCATTAACATGTTATACAAAAAATGTAGAGTCTATAGCATATAGGAGAAATGTTATACACCTATACGCCAAACATGACTTGATGGCGATTTTCAATGTCTACGGGATCAAAATGGATACCAAATTGACATTTAACCTCTCTAGAGAGCAAACAAATTTGACATGCACCAGAAACGATATATGGATGTTTTCCGCAAACATTTTTTACGTTCAATTTAACAACAAAATGTTTTTAATCATTCTTGTTCAATACATTTTCTTATGGCGTTAGATGATTCGTTACCGTAATTTAGATTGGAAGAATAATGGCCAACTATAACTAAAATCGTAATAAGAAGACTCCAACTATAATTTCCTTTAGTAATATTCAATGCATTGTTTTAATTTTTTTTTACCAAACTCAAGTTCTTAATATCTAATATCTTTAACCATTTTGTAAATACTCTCAAACTCGGGGAACCTCTCTCTTCTCTCTCAAATATCTTTCAGAGAGATGGTCTCCGATTGGATCTAGTATGTGAGTTTCTTTTCATTTGCTTTTGTCTTCCCTGCAAATCAGAAAGTCTTTCTCTTCTCCATCACAAATCTTTCAGAGAAAGAATTTTGGCTTGCTTTTCCGACGAAGCTTTTGATATATCTTTCTAATTGTCTCCGTTGATCTTGGCTTCATCAGCGAGATCAGATGGCTTTTGTCTCCGGCGAACCCAGCTTTCACAGTGAGTTTTGTTCGGCTAAGTTTCTGGCCTGCTCGGCTTTTAAAGCGAGCTTGTTCGGCGTTTCTCCGGCATCGTTCGGCTTATTCAGCGAAGTTGGCTGGCTTTATCTCCGATGTTCTCGTCGCCATCTCATCAGGCGAGTTCGATCGGCTTTGGTTTCTGGTTTATGGTTTAAATCGAAGGTAATAATTTCAAGAGATATGTGTATCTTTAAAATTTTCGTTCCTTGGTTTGGGTTTGTTTAAAAGGCAAAGATCTTCGTTGTGTTAATTTCCTGGTTGGGAGATTTATTGGCCTTTGGTTTCCAGAAGGGGTTTCATGATTTGGGATCTTGTTGAGTGAAGATCTTTCAGAAGTTTAGGGTTTATTAGATTGCACTCATGGCTCTACCGGGTCGCGTGTTAAGTGTAAATGTTCCTGGGATAGGGATTAAGTGAGAGATTTAATTTTACCCTTACTTATATTTTCTGTTGAATTTCTGTTCGATCTCTTCGTTCAATTAGTTTTTGCGTTGCCCTATTTCACTCGAGTTTGTTTAACTCGTTTAAAAGCTTTGTTTCCAAGGAAATTATGTTTTCCGTTGGCTTTGTTCTTGGGAAGTTTATTTCCAATGTTGTATGTTTTTACAATAAATAAAATATCCAGATGAAAAAAAAAAAAAAAAAATACTCTCAAACTAGATTCTAAGAAAAAGATACACATTTCTAAATACATATCTTATTTCGTTGCAGAATACGTCACTTGAAACATAGTTTTTACATGAAGAGATATATACATATATAACTATATAAGTACTATATGTTGCAGTCTTAAGTTATACGTTAAACATTTAGATAGCAGTTAATTTATGTAATATAACAATGACAAACATACAATAACTAACATATAAAGTGCTGGATGCGAAACGGTCTTTTAGATGATGTTGCATTTGAAGTACTTTTTGAATACTTCTTCTTCCCTGCAGTGCAGAGAGATGACTCTATAGACTTCAATCAACAGTTTTGGAAACCGTACAGCAAAGTACTCGTCAAATCCTTCTGGAACTGTTCCGACAAGTTCCTACGACATCAAAAGTTTCAAAATAATCAGTTTAAGCTCGTGTGCGTAACGGTGTTGGAGGGATTCAATTATAAGATGAACCTGAATTTCTGGAGGAAGTTCTCGATAATGATTCAGTTTGTTTCTGATGACTCGTAACAAGTCACGAATGCTATCGTATTTGTAACGCCTGTAGCGCCCAATGTTTGTGATGAAAACAGGTTCTAGCTTTTCATCCCATTTCCCTCCTATAGCCACTGGAGCTGTACTCTCCATTGCTTTCAAGATTTCAGAATCAGCTTCTCTATTTTCAAGCTCAACTCGGTCACTAGCATCCCGAAGGAAAGATAGTCTCATCTCTGAGTTCCAAAACATAGGATGGAGTAGCACTTCGGTTGCGCTAGGACTGCAAATAGCAAAGAGTATAAGAGATTAGGCTTTGTGGAGTGAATTTTAATCATCAGAGAGGAGAGTAACATTACCGTAAATCAGGGTTTGGGTTCAACAAACGGGATATGAGGTCTGAAGCTTCTGGAACGTGTTCTACTAGAAATAGGTCGACTTTGTTCTTCACAATATTGACATCTCGTTCAAGATCATCTCCAAATGGATGCTTACAACCGGTTATCGTGTAAAAGATGAGACAACCTAAACTAAACATGTCCACTGCACGAGTTTGACGACCATGTAGAAGCTGCTCTGGTGCTTGCCATCCCGAACTACCAGAACCTATAAATGTTAAAGGAGATATTTCAAAAATATGGTTTGAAACTCTTTTCATAAGCATAATCACATATTCAACAAACGGTCATACACCGCGTTCAGCCACTAACATGCGCTCTCCTGACCAACTTATGCCATTATGTAGTTTTTCTCTAGTGTTAATTTTGTTTTGCAAGATCAATCAGACTTATTTCTGAAAGTGTTACAAATCCAATATTTTGGGGATCAAACAAAGTTAATATAAAACAACGTACCTGTGGCAAGGTGGCCCAATGATGACATATCTCTGGACATACGCTTGCTAATGCCCATATCGGAAAGTTTTGCACTCAAAGTCATATCTTTACTAATTAACACATTTTGTGGCTTCAAGTCCCGATGAACTATTCCCAATTCGTGTAAGTGGACGATCCCACAAACTATATCACTGCATCAGAAGACAAACAATATGAAGAATATAAGTTTAAACAGTAAATCAGTAAACAAGGTTTAAACTAATCTACAGTTTATTGTATCACATAGCCAGACTTATCAGAACCATAGCTACCTTTGATGTTCAACTGAAACATCTCTTAATCCAAGAATATTATGACATATATAAAAAAGTACAAAGTCCAAATTAACCTCATTAGTTTAAGCATGAGAGGTGATGGGTGGCCCCCCACTTTCCAAAAGTTGTTTCCTTTGTTAACTCCCTCCAAAGAATCAAGTTGGATCTTATAAGCAGTCACTCCTTCAGTAGAATCGTTGTTTCCCAATATTTTTGTCATAGAAAACTCTAAATAGGATTTGATTAGATCATCTAAACTGCACGTGCAACGCTCTAGAGAAAGGTATACAAAATCTTGATCATACTCCACACCATACCACCGAATGATGTTTGGGTGTTGGTCTGATGCAATGAGGTTTTGAATCTCCTTGAAAGCAACCTCATGATGAGATCGAACAATGCGTTTTACTGCTACAGGCCGACCTTCGTAAATACCCTCGAACACCACAGTTCCGTTACTTCCCTTTGCAATTTCTTTACTTGACAAAAACAACTTACCGATCTTTCGCCCATCAGTTGCACCACTTGGAAAGTTATTGAAGCCTAGTAACATTTGACCTCCTTCAATGAGCTCGAATTGATCCTGGCCACGAGGAACTGACTGCCTATTTGCATCCTTCCCTGATTTACGGTTCTTCTTCTTTTTGGAAGGTCCAGATTTCGAACTAACATCACTGCCACTCGACGAAAACTTTTTAATGAAAACAGAGACAACAACACCCAGAAGCACTAAAGGGACCAATAACTTTACTGGTGACCATTGTCCAAACACATATCTATATTTGTGCCCATGTTGCTCTTGTAACTTCCTTGATTCTCTGGCTTTTTCAAAATGCATGATGCTGTTTTCGCTCTCTAAGTGATTTTGCGAAGGGGAAGGTAGCATTTTCACTTTCATTGGCTGATCATGGAGCACCCTAATAACAATTTCTGGGCCACGAACGTCAATTTGTGACCCACATACCAATGGCATATAAATTCCAGTTTGAAGTTTAGGACCGAGCTCATAGCCAGAATTGAAAACTGGATCACATAGTAAAGAAGCTCTGAAGTGAGAAACCGTCAAATTCCACACAAGCTTTCCAGTGGTTTTACTAAAATGCTCTAGTTTGGAATCTGTTCGCCTGATAAGAAGAGGTTCATTCACAAAATCTTCAGTGCTAGCGGGCTTCACCATAGCATTAGTAATTTTAGTATCTCCGGTTGATTTGTAAACATGAATCAGCCTCCCTGATCTACCATCAACCAAATAGGCAGTAGTTGTTTCTGACCCAAGAGTCACACCATCATCCGTCACAAGTGGCCTCTGCCTAAAAAAGTCCTGAACTGTCTGCAAATTCGACGAGAAAATGTGTGACATATGTATTAACATAATTAAACGACTACAAAGTCTTTTGTGTTTTTCATACCCAATTATGATAGCCATCAACAGTTGTAGCCGCCTTTGAGTTGTTCAGATATTCTACTATTATGTGAGGACGACTTATCTCAGTAGCATTTTCTGTGTTGTTATTAGCACTTAGAGGAGCCTGATATAACGAATGCATAGGTGATCCTGTTGAAAAGGACCATATTGTTTGCGCTGGTGATTGCTGCTTTAAAAACACTTTCCCAGACGGATCAACATCAAAGTTCGTATTGGGCTCACTGATTACAAGACAGATAACATCACAACCAATAACCACATAGAGAAATCAAACCAATTATGACCACCAAAACATAATCACTAGTTCATCACGTTTCAATGCTAATGATACCCTAAAAAACTGTGACCAAAATTGAATACTAAGTCTTTTTACATGTAGAAGATGGAAGAAACTCACTGACGAATCTGCAAAATCGTTCTGCGGCCGGGACTAGATGGCACGATCGGATACGTCACATCGTCGGCAGCGCCGCCGCAAGGAGACATGATCCATGGTGAGAGTAGCAGTAGTAAGAAGAATAGATGGCGGAGAAAAGGACATCTCGGCGGCATGGTCCGGATCAATTATGGAGAATCTGAACAGAGATAGAGATGATGATCAGCTGTGAAAACAGAGGAGGACGATTGGATCATCGAATTTAACAATCGGGAGATAAAAGATAAGAGAAGGGGTTTTCGAATTTTACCTGATGGTGAAGTCAACCAATGGAGATAAGATGCGAAGGTTTTGTCTGAGGCTGCGGTTTAGGGATCTCCCGGCGAGTTTCTCCTCCCTTGCCCCCACCCTAGTGTGCCTAACGCGTTTTCCTTTTGAATCTTCTTCTAACAATTTTTATTTTTTTAAAGAAAAATATTACAGAAGGTAAATTAAAAAAAAAAAAAAAAATACAGAAACCCTCGAACGAACCAAACACTGTTTTGTCTGAGGCTGCGGTTTTAGGATCTTCGTGGGCCCCACCGTACTGCCCAACTAAACTAATTCGGCCGAGCCGAGCCAATAAGTAGTCTGTTCGTTTCATCGCCGCAGGCGGCAGCGGCAGCGGCGCCGGCAAACACTACCGCAGGTTGTTGTTCGTTTTGTCGCCGCCGACGCTGCGGCAACCGCTGCCTCTGCTGCAGGTTTTGTGTTCGTTTAGACGCCGCTACCGCTGCCGCCGCCGCTGCCGCAACCGCAGAAGGTCTTTTAAAATTGCTTGCTGTGTTGCTGTGTTTACTTCGGTTTGATCAGATTGAGCCGGTCAGAGAAAAAAGGTAACCAAACCGGTTTAAACCGTCGTCGTTTCGTTTACAAGGAACGAATAAGGAGCTTGAAATTGAAAATTTAGGAGTCACTTTGGCTTAGGTTTTAAGACTTTAAAAAAGCTTCCCGTCTCCGTTCTGACGACTGAAAACTTCTTCACCGGCGAACTCGAAATTTTTCCAGCAAGAAATTGAAGATGTTGCAGAGCAAAGTTTTCAATAAGAAAACCAGAGGAGGAAGAATCCAAAAGGTCTCTCTTCAATCTCTCTATACTTCTTTTTCCATTCGAGTTTTTGATCGTTATTATAACTTTGTTGTACTCTTTGTCTGCGACAGCAAGTAAGAGAGGTTTATCTAAGAGATGACATATACTGTGGAGCTTTTTCTTGCAAGTCTTGTGATTCTTCAGCTGCTCGTTTGTCTTCCCCTAAGATTCTTGTTGTTGATACCAACGTCGTTCTTCACCAAGTAATTTTCCTTTGTTTTGATTATATAAGCTAAACATTTTTGAGCTTGTGGATATTATTTATGTAATTGTTTCTGTTTTTTGTAGATTGATTTGTTGGAAAATCAAGCTATAGACAGTGTTGTTGTTCTGTCTGTGGTGCTGGATGAGGTTAAGAACAGGAATAGATCTGTTTACAACAGAATTAGAGCTCTCTGCAGCAATCCAACCAGACAGTTCTATGTTTTTTCCAATCATGTCCACAAGTAAGACCTTGTTGGAACTTCTAGCTTTTAGATTAACCAGATTTTAGGTGGACAAAAGGATATAGATAAAGAATTCAATGATTTGGGAAATGCTGTTTGGTTATATTGATTAATTTCTCTCATTACTGGAACTTAATAAGCTATATAAACGCTTTTCTCCGTGTTCTTATCGTTGTTTTCTCGTCTTTGCTTAACTCTCCACAGGGATACTTATGTGCAGGCCATGGAGAAAGAGAGTGCCAATGACCACAACGATAGAGGTTTTATTTACTATTTAATCTCCTTCTTCCTTTGCTAACATATCGTTACTTCCTTGATGATGTATCAATTTACATACTTCTCTTGGTATGCACCTGTTTATAAAATTTCTTTATATTGTCATTATGTATTATTTCTTTGGAATTCAGCTATTCGCGTCGCTACGCTATGGTACCAGAAGCATCTAGGGGATACATCTCAGGTGTTACTTGTAACTAATGACAGGGAAAATAAAAGGAAGGCCACTGAAGAGGGAATATCTGCAGAGACAAGTATGTAAATCATCTTTAGTTTTCACAGAAGCTTACTTTCCAGCATTCCAGATATTGAAGCTCGGTTTTGCCAAACATGATGTTGAAGTTTATCAATGAATGTTATCAGTTGAGGCTTATGTTAAATCAATTGGACAACCTGAATTGCTGGATCTGCTTGCCCAACCAACCAATGAAGACGTAACTATGGAAGATGCAGATGATTCTAGACCTTCGAAGAGGAAACTTATATACCAAGAGGTAATGAAGATAACATATTTGTTTTATAATCTCAGATTTGGGTAACTTGATACTGCTATCAAACAACTCTTATCTCCAATTTTGTTCTTTTTCCTGCTTGCAGCATAAGCCCATGTCTGAGATTACTGCTGGCTTACACCGTGGAATATATCATCAAGGAAAACTCCGTGTCAATCGTTTCAATCCTTTCGAAGCGTATGTTGGAAGTGAGAGCATTGGCGAAGAAATAATTATCTATGGGCGCAGCAACATGAACAGGGCTTTCGATGGTGATATTGTTGCGGTCGAACTCTTGCCTCGCGATCAATGGCAAGAGGAAAAGGCATTATCTATAGCTGAAGAAGGTTTCTTTTAATATCTTCATGTATTTCAAACTAGTTATCTGCTTGCATGAACTTGTGTTAAACTTATCTTTCTTTCAAATGCAGATGATGAAGAGGACGATACTGTTCATTTGGCTCCCAACAGTGCTGATGATGCTCCTAGAACCTCAAATTTATCCCAGGAAACTTCTGGGGATAAAAATGCTACCCCTGCTCGTCCATCGGGTCGTGTAGTCGGTGTTATCCGTAGAAATTGGCACTCGTGAGTTCATTACTTGATTAACCCTATCTTCTTGCTGGTATTTTCTTAATGAGACATTGATGCATCCTATGAGATTATTTTAACAGACATGTTCATATATTCTCCGTAGAGATGCCTGTCTCTGGTGACTACATATATGAATTGACAATTATCTTTACTTCTCTTGACTTCAGTGTCTTTTGTCTGTGCAATTATGCTTTGCTTTTTTCTTACTCTGAGAGTCTGTTTCAAGCCATGGTTTCTGGATGACGGTTCCTAATTTGCTTGGTATCATGCAGCTATTGTGGATCTCTTGAACCAATGTCACTACCGGCTGGTAGTGGTGGAACGGCGCATGCTTTATTTGTCTCTAAAGATCGCAGAATTCCCAAGATTCGCATTAATACTCGACAGCTGCAGAACCTTTTGGATATGAGGATAGTAGTGGCAGTTGATTCTTGGGACCGTCAATCTCGATATCCTTCTGGTCATTATGTACGACCAATCGGCAAAATAGGTGACAGGGAAACTGAAACAGAGGTAAGGGCATTATATTAAATTACTGGGCTCTGTTCTAGTAGGAGGTGGGAGGGCGAGAGTTGGACAAGTATATTGGTTTCTTTTTCCAGGGAAGTAACTGACATAGATAATTGGAAATAACATCAATACTCTTATTTGTGGATGCTGCAGGTTGTATTGATAGAGAATGATGTTGACTACTCGCCATTCTCTTCTCAAGTTCTGGCATGCTTGCCACCCTTACCCTGGTCTGTATCTCCTGAAGACGTATCCAATCCTATTAGGCAAGACTTACGACATTTGCTTGTCTTTAGTGTGGACCCTCCGGGTATGTACCTAAAGCTCTCTACTCATTTGATAGTATATGATTTTAGCCAATTTTAATTTCTTCCAGAATCTGCCGATAGTTGTGTACAAGCAGATTAACTTGTTTGTGTTGCTAACAGGTTGCAAGGATATTGATGATGCACTACACTGTACATCGCTTCCAAACGGGAACTTTGAACTTGGAGTCCGTATCCTAGAGTCCACAGAGTCTCATTTAAATATGACTGAGCTTTCAATTTAGGACATTTCAAGAGTCAATGAGTTACAAATCACTTTGTGGTGTGTTACCGTTTTGCTTCATAGTATGATTTTATCATAATTATCTTGTGCCAAAAGTGCATTTTAGGTGATCGGTGTTATGTCTTCTAGTATTTAGTCTCTTTCAGAAATTTTAGCTAGTTCCGTTGTATTCTCTCTTCATATCCAGGGAGTGAATTTATGATGCATATCCTTGACCATGATTTTAGACATTGCTGATGTAACAAATTTTGTTCACCCTGGTACTCCTTTGGATGATGAGGCATCAAAAAGAGGCACATCTGTCTACCTTGTTGAGCGTCGTATTGACATGCTTCCCAAGCCTTTAACTGAAGGTAATATCTCTTCGTACAGAATACATTCCTTTTCTGTTGGAATTCCAATGCACTAAACATGGTTTTACTTGCAGATATTTGCTCGCTTAGAGCTGATGTGGAAAGGCTTGCATTCTCGGTTATTTGGGTATGATTTATCCATTTTCAATTGTCACTACGAGGCATATTTTAGCAAATTGGTAAATGGTTAGCTTAAGCTTAATTCATATATTTAGGAAATGAGCCCTGACGCTGAGATTATCTCAACGAGATTCACAAAGAGTATAATCAAGTCTTCTGCAGCATTGTCTTATGTTGAAGCTCAGGCTCGGATGGATGACAGGTACATTTTTTTACCATAGAGTTAGAGGGTCAGTGGCTTGTTTGTTTAGCAGCTTACCTTTGCTACTACTGTAAAATTCTTACATTTCATGCTCTCTAGTCATTTGACAGTGGGAAAAATGGTGACAATAATTGTTAGAAAATTATTGCACTTCTTATTCACAAAATTAACCTATCTATTAATGTATTCATGAATTTAATTTTATATTATTCTGAATTTTAGAGTTGTTTCAGATTCCATCTTTACATTATGCCCAAGATTGACAAGTGTAACTATTTTCTGGCAGCCGATTGACAGACTCCCTGACTACAGATCTGAGGAACATGAATACTTTGGCAAAGGTTTAAGACACCTCCTCTCAGATGTTGTCATATGTTCCTGGAATCATAGAAAGAACACAATATTCTGACCTGTTTTTTGCTCTTGAAACCTGTAGATAATGAGGCAAAGGCGTATCGATAGGGGAGCCTTAACTCTTGCTTCTGCTGAAGTCAAATTTCAGATTGACACCGAGACGCATGATCCTCTCGACATTGGTATGTTTTCTGAGCAAAATTTGCTTCTTCTTGATGAACATGAACGATATATTCTTTAGTCTCTGTCACCCAAACACTCATGAAGTACAATCGCCTCTATCTCTTTGAAAGATGTATTCAACTTATTCATTTGTTTGTCATTCATCACCGTGACTCTTGTGTTTTGCACAGGCATGTATCAGATTCGTGAAGCAAATCAAATGGTTGAGGAATTCATGCTTG